TTCTATCTTTCTTCCTTTTCTTCTTATCTCAGATCAGTCACCATGTCTAAGTGTCTTGATAAGGTGGTATTAGAGCCATTAAAGTTGACTGAATCATTCACCAGGGTTGCTTTGTGAACTCGATCTAAGGGGAAGGTAGTAGCCATTGCGCAACCGCCTGAACCAATAGTGAAAGAGTTGGATCAGCGACTATCAAAACTCGTGGCCGAAATTTGTGAACATCAGAAAAAGACGCAACAATCAATTTGAGTACCTAGTGAAGTTGATACGCGGTGGGGTGCTGCACTAGGAGATGTGTAGCTTGGCGGCCCAAACGACAGCTGCATCGATTGGGCAACAAGGAATTTGGCCGCCTCCTTTCACGCACAATGAGATTGCACCGCACTACGAAATATAGAGCCCGACAAACCAGATGGTAGCCGTGCTGAATGGGTAAAAGGCGATTCTGTTGCCTCCCATTGCATACGAGGAAGAAGAAAAGGGAAAATAGGGCTCAAGGGTTCAATAGAGCCCCAAACTGGTTTTCCCAATTCAGGAAATCAAATTAATGGTCTAGACCAAAAATGGCCCAGACTAAACTGGGCTGAATTGAACCAGCCCAGACCGAACTGAATTTGCTTACTTTCTGAACGAACTCCCCAATTACACCATGAATTCGACTTGTTTACCCATCTTTGGTTAACTGTCCAGTTTGCCCAAGGTGGAAATTCTACTTTTTGGTGGAATTAATTCATGTGTCTGGATTTGGAGATGCAATAAGTATTTTTTGGTGCATGGAACACTGGACGAACAAAAGGTGGAGGTGGCTTCACTCTACTTGGGTAATGTAGTAGATGTATGTTACCAAGGATGGTTAGCAAAAGTGGATGAGCTCGAATGAAATTTGTTTGTAGAGAAACTACGTCGCAGATTTGACGGCGCCTCTCTAAAGAATTTAACAAACTAATGCATACTAGAATAGTATTGAAATATCAAGAACATCTCGAATATTTGCGCTCATTGATGAATGCTGACAATCCCACTTTGTTTGGAAAATTTGTTCATTTCAACTTTTATCAACGAGGTTAAAGCAAAACTGCAACCAATAATAAGGCTGCTTAGCCCACGCTTGGTCAACCAAACATCTGAACAAGTCCTGCTCCAGGAACAATGTATGATAGAAATGTCTCAATTGCATATTTGTTTGGTGCTGTTGTCCAATTTTCAGAAGGATCTGAAAAATAAATTATGAACCATCCCTAGTAGGTGGAAAAGAAACGAAATCGAGAAGTGATAGCTGCTTGTTACAAGTATGGAGACTGATATTTTTCAGAACACCCTATCAAAGTAAAATGGTAATGACCTTGGAGGAGATTGTTATGGAAAGAACTCTTGAAGAAAAAGTTTTTACAACTCAACATTAAGGACAAGATTGATGCTCAAGGGGAGGGCATTGTCAGAATACAAGGGATAGAAAAAAAATTTCACAAAAGGGTAAATTGGTCATTTGTATGTATTAATTAGGATTAAGGTTACGGTTAGTCTCCTGCACCTATCTTTATCTACAGTTGCGGGCTGCGAGATTTCGGTCGCAAAAATCGTTGCTTTCATTGCTTTAAGCCTATAAAAGGCTCAATCTCTATGTTTGTAATCATCAAGGAAAGAAATAAAAATTTATCTCAAATTTCTTTTTTCTGTTTCTCCTCTCCTTTTCTCTTTCTTTCTTCTTCTTCTTATCTTAAATCAATCACCATGTCTAAGGGTGTTGATATGTTGATAAAGATCCCTGAAAACTTCCACAAAGTTTTGCTTGATTATGTGCCAAAAGTCCTGTAACATTCTCATGTTGAACCTATCCGGCCCTGAACTTTTATCACCAATTCAACTTTTAAGACCTTCCAATATCTCCTCTTAAGAAAATTCCTTCTCAAGGTTGTCTCGACGCGTCAGATTAAGCTCGTTAAATTGAAGCCCATCAGCTTAAGTCTTCTGTCTAATTCTTCCATATAAATTGTCTAGAAATAAATATTGGCTTTCTCTCTCATATTACTAATCAACTATTCATCCACATAGTTGTATCGTCTTCTACAGCTGGCCAAGTAATGAAAGTACTTAGTATTATAGTCCCTCTCTTCAACCATTTCTCCCTTGCCTTTTGTCTCCAAATATTTTCTCCATGCATAACCTATTAGCCAAATCTACTGTCAACATCTTCCTTCTCTCCTTATCCTCTCTCATTTTCCCACTCTCCTGTTCCAATATGTCTAACCCCTCTAACTCCTCCATTATTTCATTAATACTCTCTTCTCCCTTCACCCTCTCCTGCATGAGATAGAACTAATAAAGGAACATAAATGTTTTGAAAAATTAATTAAAAAGAATAAGAAGATTTAATTTCTTTTTATAAGTTTTGAAGAGTTTTACAATAAAGGGAAACAAACAGATTTCTTTTCTTATTTCTTAGATTTCCTATTTTCCTATCTTTATAACTTATTTTTCTATTTATTAGGTTTTCTAGATTTCTTATTTTGATGTATTTGGTATCTATAATAAGGTACCTATCTTAGTTATTAGGTAAACTATTCATGATCATTATTCTTATTTTGAGATGTTGTTTTAACTATTAAGATATGAGATTTCTAAGTTTTGTTCTTGAGAAAAGTTCATTAAGTTTGTATTCAAGCTTTCTTTGTTCTACATCGGTTGATATTAGAGTCTAAAATCGATATACTAGGCTTCCCAAGTTTGCTGAATCCAACCCTCTTGACACCCCCCCCCAACAAAAAAAAAATTAAAATCAATCAACGATATGACTCTACATTCTTTTGCCCTTATCAACAAGGAGAATTTGACTATTATTTCTTTTATGGATTTTGTCATTCCTAATTAGTTCAACACATCTTCAATATCCTTGGTTTCAGAAGCATTCATGTTATCCCATGATAATTTCAAGTTTTGTAAGGTTCAAACTGCTATTGAGACAAGCTTCAACTTTGATAGTCTTTTTACTTTAGCATTTCAAAACTCGAAGTTAAGTTTTCACCGAGTGGGGGAGAATGATGCAGAACAAAAAGCTCATAAAGTGGACATAGTTATTGTAATAGGAGATATAAGGCGGAACCAATAAAGGAATATAAACATTTTGGAAAGTTAAGTAAAGGAATAGGACAAGTTTAGTTTCATTTTACAAGTTCTTGAGTCTTACAATAAAAGGAAATAGAAAGATTTTATTTTTCTTTTTCCTAAATTTCCTATTTTCTTAAGTCTTTCTATTTGTAACTTATTTTCCTATTTATTAGGTTTTCTAGATTCTCTATATTGATGATTTGTGCCTATAACTAAGTACCTATCTTAGTTATTAGGTAAACTATTCATGATTATTATTCAAAAATTGAGATATTATTTTGATTATTGAGATTTGAGATCTCTAATTTCTGTTCTTAATAAAAGTTTGTTAAGTTTGTATTCAATCTCTCTTTATCCTACATCAGTTATACCTATCATTTTCGCAATTGCTAGGTTCAAAGAAACAACGGTCAGGATTTTGAGGTGTTCAGTGGTGGAGTCAATCCAGTATAAGGTTTCTCTTTTTGGGACCTTAGTGAATTAGACGTTGGTGAATGAATCTACCTCCTTTCCATCTTGCATTATTCAACAAAGATGATTGGCTGGTTTTGAAGTTATCTAGAGATGCTACATTTTTAGTTAAATCCTTTTGCCACTATAAGCTTGCTGACTCCATGCTAGATTATCTATCTTGGGAATAGATTTGGAAATCAAAAGCTTGTCCCAACATTGCTTTTTTTTTTTCTTTTCCTGATGCCAGCTTAGGGAGGATCCTTACTTTTGACAACCGCATGATTCTTTGTAATTATTTTTCATTTGTTTTCATGATTCTTTGAGGACTATACCTTATCCTCCAGTTTTGCATTATATTTTTTTCTCTCCTCTCTAATAAATCTTCTTTTATCTAAAAGAATCAGGTAGAATAAAGTTAATGGCTGCTTTGCGTGCCATGAAGAATGGGACTCCCTAGGCCCATCTTCTTCTTTGCTGTACTAAGACTAGGAGGACTTCGGTTTTTGCAGGACTATGAACTCTATGGTTTGAATGGAATAGGAGGATTTTCAATGACAACTTTTTGTTGGTCAGGAGATGTTGGAAAGATTAAACTTTTTTGGCTACCTTATGGATCAGTAAATGTGGGGAAAATTAACTTTTTTGGCCACCTTATTGGCCAAAGCTCATGGGAAATTCCCCTATCTTGCAATATCTGGAATTCATCAGAACTGGGAGGCTATATTTTGTGATCCTCAAGATTTTTATTTTTGTATATTTATCTTTTTCTTTTTGCCTTAATTTTGTATCCTCTGTTTGATGATTGGAGGCTATATTTTGTGATCGACAAGATTTTTATTTTTTGTATGTTTATCTTTTCTTTTTTGCTTAATTTCGTATCCTCTATTTGATGATTCGAGGGAGATGTCTTATTCTCGGATAGTGTACCTTGCTGGTATGAGTCGAGGGTCACACATCCTTAGAGAGCCTTTGAGAATCATCCTCCCAGTTCATCTCTGTTGGAGGATCGTGGATTGATAACTCCTATATGTTGTTTAAGAGTAACTCCATCCATAATGAGATTGATGTTTTGGACTTGATTGATCTCTTATATTTGATAAATTTGTATATTCTTATATTTGTGTAAGTAGATGGTACCCCCATTGTAGTCTCTTTACGAAACTGCCAAAAGTAATTTCATAGTAAGATAAAAGATAAATTTGCTTTTATTATATTAAAGCTATGTTGCATTTAGTGTTTACTGTTGGTAACTAAGGAAATATTGAAAATGGCTGCGTAATATTTTCCTACTCAAAATGCTGTTCTTCTTAGTTGCTGGCTCATTTTCTTCTTCTCAATTGTACATTGTGCTTTAGACAATATTCTTTTAGCTGTTCTATTCTTGGAATAAAATATTTGCTGAATCATTGGTCATTTAGAAACTTACTAATTATTTTATTCAGGAGGGAGCTTCATGAAGAGCTTGGAATAAAGCTCCCGGAGGATGCATTTGAGATGATATTCATCTTTCTTCAAGAATGGTTCGTATATAAATTTGTTGTTTACCTGATGCTTGAATTCCTCGATGTGATACATTTTTCTATGGAGAGTTAACCATCAGTCTGCTTTTTGAAGTACAACCGTTGGTAGATAATTAAAACTGACAAACTTTTGCGCCTCCACAAGAGGTGGCCTTTTAAAAGTTCACAGTATAGCTACATTTGGTATGATGAATGGTGTAGGCTAAAGGGCGGGTAAGGCCCCTTATCCTAACATATCTTTTCTTTATTGGTTGGAAGAGACACCACCATATTGGGGTAGGTAGTATATATATTGCCAATGGAAAGAGAGTTACTATCAGAAAAACGAGAGAGAAGTGCAACAACAGAGGACAAAGAATCTTCCTAAAATAAAAAATAAAATAGATGATGGTTTGTCTTTATTGATTGGTTAATTCATTTTCTTTGTTAACGAGTTAGAAAGAGGATAAAAGTATACTAAAATAGAGGACAAAGAATTCTTTTAAAGCAACCAAAGAAAAAGAAATACATAAAAATCAGAACAGTGCTACAATTCTCTTATGATTTTACAAAGCTAACAATATAAATTGAAATCCTCGAGAGAGAGAGAGCGATTGTGTGATTCTGTCAGTCAGAGTGAGAGAGGGTTGGCCTCCTGGCCAATTAGGGGGAGGGGGATAATGATGTCGTCGTGGAAAAGGTTTTTCATGGTGGATCACAAAACCTTCGACAAATTCAGAAGTAGGAGAAGAAATGAGGAGATGTGCATTTGCGAGAAAGGAAAGGGCCTAAGGGTTGAGATTATCTTGGAAAATAAAGATATCAGGTGGATTGTTGAGGCTTTAGTAGATTTTTACTGGAGAAAGGGTGGTAAATCTTGGGAGAAACAGATAAATGGTGATAAACATAACTTGTTCATTGCTTTGGGAAGAAATGGTGGTGGAGTTTTCTTGTTTTGACTAAGGTGCGAGGAAGAAACAGGAAACAAATCTTCCAAGATTTTTGTGTGAGGCCTCCTCTGGTTCACTCGATGCATGAGGACTCAAAACCGTCAGAAAACGACTTCCTCCGCCTCTTCTGCGTGCATCACTGTGTCGGCCGCAATCGGAACTGGTTGGAGGATGGTGGTTGACTTGTAAAGAATAAGAAAAAAATACTAAATATTTCTTACATTTTATTGAAATGAGAGTGAGGAGTTTTGTGAATGGAGATTTTTGTGAAGGAATTCCCCCTTTTTTCTCTTATTAATTTCAGACACCAACGGGTGCCATTTATAGAAGAAAAAACAAGAATGTTTTCATAAATGTGAGGAAGGGATGATAACAAATTTCTGTTATTACCATGTCACCTCACCTTCTAGAAGAATGACACCTCACCTACTAGGAATATTCCACTCTGTATAACAGAATGGAGAATAAGAAGTACCTAATTTATTACAGTATTTTCTACACTCTCCCTCAATCTAGTTTACATATATATTGAGTAAATTTAAATTGGATACAATATTATCAAATATCTGTTTTGGTAATGCATTTGTTAGGATGTCAACAACTTCTTGATTTGAAGGGATGTGCATAAGAGCTATGGTTCCATCTTCAATCTTTTCTTTAATGAAATGTCGATCTATCTCTACATGTTCGGTCCTGTCATGGTGTATTGAATTTTTGGCCATACTGATTTTTGATTGATTGTCACACTACTCTTTCATAGAAGTATTAATAGATGCATTTAATTTTAGTAGTATTTTTCTCAACCATATCCCTTCACAAATTCCATGTGCAATAGCTCAAAATTCAGATTTTGCGCTATTACGGGATACTACAGACTGCTTCTTGCTACGCCATGTGACCAAATGTTCCCACACATATGTGCAGTAGCCAGAAATGGATCTCTTGTCGGTTATCGGTCCTGCCTAATCAGCATCAGTAAAGACTTCAATATCCCTGTTTATTTTCTTTTGGAAAATTAATACTTGAACTGGTATCCTTTTTAGATATCTCAAAATTCTATACATAGCCTTCATATGTATTTCTGACGGTTGATTCATGAATTGACTTACTGTACTAATTACAAAGCTGATGTTTAGTCTTTTGTGTGCCAGGTATATTAGTTTCCCGACCAATTTTTGATACTCTCTTTGTCAGCAGTGTTCTCACATTCTGTAGATCCCAGTTTCATGGTTGGATCCTTAGGCGTATCCGCAGGTTTACAACTAAGCATACCTGTTTCCTTCAGGGGATCCATGACATATTTCCAATGTGATACGGAAATTCATTTCTTAGACTGGGTAATTTTCATACATAGGAAGTACTTGAGCATTCCAAGATCTTTAATTTCGAATTCCGGGGCTAGAAACTCGATAAGTTCTTGAATCTCGTCAATGTGATTTGAGATGGGGATGATATTATTTACATACACAATATCAAGTAGAG